CCGAGCATACGGCGAGCGAATCTACAGAAGAATCCTTTACTCTCTTGAATCCCATTTCATCATCTCACACTAAGAGAGAGTTAACTATATATTTCTTTTTTTATATTATTAAGATATAATTTATAGTATTTTATATATAGATAATATTATATAGATTATTAAGCAAATAGAATTAATATGAGTAATAATATTAGACAATTATAAGCTTGAATAATTAATATAAATAATAAATAATAAATGATTATATACTTGAATAATTATCTCAAATATTCTAAATAACAATTTTGGCTTATCTAATAAATTAATATAAACAAAAATAAATTTAATATAACAATATAATATAATAAATATAATTACTATATAGAAATAAGATCAACTCTTCCTAATAATTCTCTGGTTAATATTTCAAAAAACAAACTACATAAAAATACTATAAAAAATACTATAAAAAATACTCAAGATAGATAATATTTTTAGTTTTGTGAAAGCATATTTTGTCAACAAAGTATCAAGAGTGTAAAACTAAAGAGCAGACTAGTTTTTATAGAGAATAAACTTCTGTTTAATAAACTTTTCTATTATATTTAATATCTAAACAAAAAGGATATTTTGGAAATACAAAGCAACTAGACTAATACTAATAATATTAAAAACTAAAGAATACTTCTATATGACTATAAAACTTTCAAGAAATAATTTACAAAGTCCTATTAGGCTCTTACTTTTTCTTAAAAAAATTTTTTACAAAAGTGAGCAATTTAGATAAAATAACTTGTTATTCAAAAGACTAGCAATATTACATTACAATATTATATTTAAATACTTAATTAAGAAAATCTCTTTTGCTATTTATCAAATTAAACAAGTTAATAAAATAAATAAAAGTAATAAACAATAAAAAATATTAAGGATAATACTGAAATCAGATAATACTAAAATTTGGAGCTTTAATTTAAAATATAAACTTTACTAAAATCTATCTATACTTTTTTATTATAAATTTTAACTCTAAATTCTAATTAAACTATAAATAATAGCTAAAAAAATACTTTAAAATTTTTATATTTTTATAATAAAATAAGCCAAAATTTTAGTATTATCCTATTTTAGCATTGTTTTTAACAAAAAATATTTACTAAATTGAATAAATTATTTTATTTATCTTGAATAATTATAGTTTTTTTGCTTATTTATTAAATTAATTGAGCAAATAAACTAGATAAAGTATTGTATAAATGACAAATATTTTTAAGTAGTTTATAATCTAATAATAAAGTTATTCATAAGATTGTTATATAACAGTTTATTATTTTATTAATTTTATTATTTTAATATTATATTATTATTAGTTATTAGTTTATTATATTATTTTATTATTTAGTTATTATTGTTATTTAAAAAGTAAATTTAAAAGACATGTATTATACTTAGCATTTGATGCTTAATAATTAATGATTAATAATTAGCAATTAATAATTAGCACTTAATGCTTAATACTTAATATTTAATGCTTAATACTTAATACTTAATACTTAATACTTAATACTTAATACTTAATGCTTAATACTTAATGATTAATACTTAATGCTTAATGCTTAATACTTAACACTTAATACTTAATATTTAATACTTAATAATTAGCAATTATACTTTATACTTAGCTGCAACAATTAGTAATTAGCTCTAAAAATATACAAAAATAAAAAATTTTAAAAATTAATATTAAACATGCTTACTATACAAATAGACACAAACTCTTTCTTTTTTTAAATTTTTTCTTGTAATATTATAAGATTCTTTAAAAATAGAAATCTAAGGATAGCCTATTTTATATTTCTTAATAAATATATATTTTATTTATAAATTATTGTTTGCTTAAACTGCTACAAAGAGAAGAGTATAGTTTTTAATTGAAATAAAAATTATATTTACTTCTTGGACACTCATCAGCAAAATTTTTAAGCAGATATATATCGATATATAGCAGTTAATCAATATATATTGATTAAAAATTAACAATATATATTGATTAAAAATTAACAATATATATTGATTAACTGCTATATATTAATATATATAACTAATAATAAATAATGATTATTGTTATATAACAATTATAATTACTATTGATTAATAATGATTTTATAAAATTTGACCAATTTTTTTAAAGTTTAATATTAATTTTCTCAATACATTTTGATTCAAATCAACTTAAATTTTTACTACAGATAGTATATATATTCAACTATAACATAGTAAAATTTCAGCTAATCTGAATTAGTAGTTCTTGAGAAATCACTTGTTAATAATAGTTAATTTTTTTAAAAAAATTAACTATCGTTAACAATGATTTCTCAAGAACTACTAATTCAGATTAGCTAAAATTTTATTATATTATAGATGAATATATATACTATCTGTAGTAAAAATTTAAGCTAATTTGGATTGATAGTTATCAGAAAATTAATGTTAAACTTTAAAAACATTTAATGAATTTTTTGTTATATATTGTTAGTAATCACCAATGATAAAACCTGACAGGGGTTGTATATTAATTGTAATCTAGAGAATTATTATTGATATATAGCATCTTTAAAATTTTGCTGATACTACTATAAACCTGTAAAGATCTCTGTAGCTATGTTATTATTATAGTACTACTATTAAAAAGACTACGGTACTTTAACAAGATAATAAGAATACAATATCTTTATATTTTATATTATAAATAAGAATATTTCTACTTGTTATTAGTAGTGACTTATATTTAGTCAATACTATTATAGAATTAAGTATAATTGTAATATAAAAACAAAAACAATAAAATTTTTAAAAATTATAATAACTCATAAAACTATTTTTTGAACAAACCTAGTATTGCTAATATCACTTGTAAATAAAATATATATGTATATAGTCAAAAAAAACCTTGATATTATTTTTTGCTAAACTCAACTATGATCTAAAACATATATATCTTATATGTTTCAAATTATAGCTAAGTTTAACAAAAACCAATATCAAAATTCTTTCTTGGCTATACTTATATTGTATATAATAAAGTTGCATAATTAGTAAATTAAAAATTATATGATATATACAAAATACTATATATATAATTGAAAATATAATATTAGCTATATTTATTTATTATTGATACTAGAGCTGTTTCAACTATCGTATTTTAATTAAAAAACTCTTAAAAAATTTTACTACATATATGTCTATCTCAATACTTATTCAATTCTAATTCTAATATTAATAAACTTTAGTATTTTTGATCAAATACAATCTGATAATGATCAGTATTAGCAATATTAAAAAACTATCTATATATAAAATATAATTTTACTAATATATAATTATACTAAAATAATTATACAATATTATTTGTTTATTCTTAATATAACTAAAAAAAATTACAATCACAAAATAATATACTATCACAAAAAAAAATAGAATTAGTTAAACAAATATATAATCTTTAAATTAGAATATAATAAAAAATTATAATTTAAGAGATTTTTAATTGACTTTTTAGTAATTGATAAGATTTAATAAATGAAATTAGTATTAATAAGTAGGCAAATGAATTTTTAGAAAATTTATATTTTTAATAGAGATTTATTTTTAGTCTTAGTTATTTTAATTTCCACAATAATATTTAAAAGTTTATCTTTATCAATATAATAAAATAATGCTTTTATATAAAATTAAATTGAATATTAACTTTAATTTACTTTTAGAATTATAAATACACTTTATTAAAATTCTAGCTATAAATTTTGTAAATAAAAATAAATTTAAACATAATTTTATAAAAAAATTTATAAATAGATAAAATATAAATATAAACCCAAATTCAAAAATGATATAAATTATATACTAAACTAAGATTTGATATCAAGCTTATTTTGAAATTAAATATGCAAGACAGCCGAAAAATTTTAAAAAACTAAAATAGCAAAAGACCAAAAAACAAATGCAAAATAAAATTTGAAATAAATAAATCTAGTTGAAAAAAAGCCAGTTATAAATGTTACAAATAATAAATTTGTAAAAATCCATAAGGATAAAACATAAGGTGAAACTATTTTTGAAGCTTTATACTCATTACTTTTGTATATTTTCTTATTAGCATTTTGACTTAACTTATTCCAGGCTTGAATATATTCTTCATTAATAGTGATTTCACTAGGCAACACAATTTCGACTGTATTTTTTTTAAAAGAGTAGACGGATTCCAATTGTTCTGCTGTGGCATAAGCTTTTGGGCTATAATATAATAGCAGATTAATAAACTATAAAATAATTAAAAATAAATGTTTAAATATCATTACCTATTATAATTATTAAAAATAGCACTATTAAAATAAAGAGGTATTAACAAAACATATTGCAAAATACAATAAAACATATGCCAAGGATCTAAAATCATTAAGCTTGAAATAAAGTATAGTATATATACAAAAATTAACGAACAAAAACTATTATAAAAATAAGTACATCCGGAAAATTATATAGAAACAAAATACAAATAAATAGAAAATCAAGCATGAAAATTATAAAAAAAAATAGTTGAATTATGTCAAACTATGAGCCTATTAAATACATTTATAGTATACGTTAATTAATATTTATATACAATACAACATTATAAGAAAATATAATATTCACCTTTGAGGTTTATTGATAATAGCTAAAAAAAATTGTACCAAAATTAAATAAAAATAAATGATGAACAGGATATAATTTATAATTGTCATACTATAAGAATAAGGATCAGAATAATGATAAGCAAACGATAATAATAAAAATGCTGAAGTGAAAATTCCCTAAAATTAATAAGGTTAAAGATTAGTAAATATATAAATGAATAATTGATGGGTGATCGATTCTTTTTATACTTACAGATGCGAACCACGATAAAAAAAAATCATATGCTTGGTGAATAATTTTGATTTGCAAACATATTTTACGGAAAATAGAATGTCCACTTCTCCAAATATAATAAAAATGTGTGATGGCGTATAAGTTTGCAAGAAAATATTTATTTATGTGACTATTTTGCTGGTAAATTAAGTTTGCTAAACTTTCAGGTGCATCTTTTTCAGCTTGCGCAGACTTTACGTAATGAAATATCCAAGAATTATTGGACTTTGTAACCAAATCAAAATTAAGAGTATGCTTCTTATGAGTATATTTATTATTAGAGAGAATACTATTAATGAATGTACCCCCAATGCAATTCTGAAGTGAAAGATATCGATAAGCGGAAAACCCTTCAGATAAAACAGATATATAACCAAAAGCTGATTCAAATGGTTTGTCTAGAATATATAACATTTTATAATAGAAAATTTGTGCACCCACTATTGGGTTTAACAACTTTCTTTTTCCACGTGTTATGAAATCTATATTGCCACAAACACCTGCAACTTTGGGATTTACAGAAAATGCTTTCCACAAGTTATAGAGAGATCCATAACCTTTTAAAATATATCACACCGAATGCAATGAATGTTAGTATATAGGACAATGTAATCATTTTACAAATTATATGCCAAATATTGATAGACTAATCCTTAATAAATTTATTTCTAACCTGGTTTAACACCAGCGTCAATAAGAACACATATTTTAGGCTCAAGCATTGGACAAAAAGCATTAAAAAACCATTGATAAGAGTTGACTCCAGGTTTACTTCGTTCAGTAAGGCAGAAGAGCAATTGGGTTGGAACAATTCCATCAGCTTCTTTTTTCATTTCAAAATTATCCTTAAAATGGTTAATTGAAATAGAAGTTGTATACTCATATATATGTGTTTCAACAGCTTTATTATCAACCTTTTCTTTCGCAACATTATTCTGATAAACACCAAGAGCTGTCAAATATGATAAAACACGTTCATTAATATTATTACGGCTATCATAAATTATGCATACGACGACCTTTTCCCACCCGTCTTTACTCTTATAAAAATATATGTTAGCAGAAATACCTTGTATTAAAAGATAGTTTTATTATAATTATACTGATACCTACCCACATCTGAGAATTTTCGAGAGAGCAAAGATAAGAAATATTTTCCATGATCCCATAAAGAGTATGGGACATTGCAATTTCATTCTCCTATAAAAATAAATATCAAATAAATAACACAATACATTATTCATCATTTATAATGTTATTGATAGAATTTATCTAATTACGTCGCGCATATTTATTAAAATAAATAGTTCAGTCTGTCGTGGAGGTTTGTATTCTATTTGACGAAGTCTAAAATTTTTTTCCTTAAAAGCTTCTGGTGCGCATGTGCAAGCTGTATATCTCAAGTGTGTGAATTCCTTTGAAGCTCTCTGATTAACATTCACAAATAAATTCGCAGGCAGAGGACAATCTATCACTAGGTTTCCATTTAACAACTCAACATGCTTCTTCCGATAAGATGTCTGTTCTGAAGATTCTATAGGCTCGACGTGGATTGTTATGGAATTACCATCATTATGGTAATTTTGAGGCGGTAATCTATTATAAAAAATGTCTTAACTATGAATGCTTAAATTATAACAAACTTTATACTTACGAGCTGATAATTTAGAATGTAAGTATTTAATATAAGTGAATTTTACGAAGAAAATGATTTTAAAGAAGAAATTAGTGCACAGGAATTATACTCACTTGCTGATAATTTCATCAATATTTTCACTCATAGGACTATTTAGATTTCGGGAGGGATCGTCTTAATATATAGATATAATTTCAGTAAAATCATAATGGTATAAACGACAATAAAATAAACAGTTGTGTAAATTTAATATTAACAATGTTCTCCAGTATGAATATTTAGATCTGAATTTTCAGAGGTATTAACAGAAGAGACAGAATCTGGGTAGTACAAGGAAATATTATTTTGTATTTGGTGATTATCAATAGGGTTTATAATGAATTTATCAGTTTCTACTGATAAATTCTCTAGTTCAGTTAAAATTTCCTTCAATGTTGGGCGCAGATCTGGATTGGAAGACCAGCATTTCATGTAGAGATCGGCATAGCTTGGAGGTGTATTTTCGATAGCTTTCTCTCTTCTGTTATGTGAAATTTCTATGATTATGGCCTGATCGGGAAGACCATTAAACGGAGGAACTCCACTTGTAAG